CTTGCGGACAGCAGGAGACTGTTCAGCAACCACAAGGTCGCCTTTGCCTGACCTCTTTTCGAGACCATGAGGTAAAGATGGGACTTTACAATCCTATATACCGCAAACCTGAGCGGGGACCCTCATCCCCTCCTTTTTCTGTCCTTTCTAACTGATCTGTAGCAGGATCCGGCCTGCAGGGGGCGCTAAGGATTCACTCAGCCAACAAAACCAACTGAACTCTTCAGCGAATTGTCCTAGAACACGGAGGTTAGTTTTCATATTTTATTTAACAGAGACGAGCTTTTCCAAATCTAAAAGATTTCCCACACACACACACACACACACACACACACACACACACCCCATATGCAATCGAGGAAAGAGAATTATATGCATTACTCAACACCAGTTCTTTGTATTGTGGCTCTGGAGAGTTAGAGCTCATTTCAAATTCCTTTGTTTTAAAGATGAACAAACAGATTCTAAGAGCTGGAGGGAAAAAATTCAGCCCCGGTGATAAGGCTAAAAACCAGCACCTGAGCTGCCTGACTCTTGAGAAACGCTCTCCAAAGATAGCTGGCTTCGTTTCTGAGAGTCTGTGGTTGTCCTACCCCTAATGCATAACTAACGAGGGACCGATTTTAGAGTTGCCCGTGGAGCCCACAACTCCGGAGCTGTCAGCTCCGTGCAGGAAGGGGTTAGCTCGGTTTCTGCTCAGGGAGCCACTGAATCGATGTGTAAATAAGCCTTGGAGGTGGGTTTCCTGTGGCTTTATCAAACCAATTGGAAGGCTGGCGCACGCCTGTAATCCCAACACTCCGGAGGCGGCAGGGGCTGGAGGATCACTGTAAAATCGACGCCAGCCTGAACTACATCATAAGATCCTGTCGCAAAACACCAAAAACCAAGGTTGGGGATTTAGCTCAGCGGCATGAACATCTGCCTGACAAGTGCAAAGTCATGAGTTCAATACCCAGTACAAAAAAAAAAAAACAAAAAAACAAAAAAAAACCATTGGAATGAGGCTTCTTTCCTAAAAGTTCCCTCTGATCGGAAATTGTGTTCTGACCTGGTGTGGAGGAGAGACAATTTTTAAAAAAGCTCTGAAAATGACATCTGGGTTGATAAATCATAGCCCCCACCCACAGTTGTAGAATAAGATCACCAAAGTAAAGTGATTCCAGAATTGGAGATCAGAAAATTAATTCAGGAAGAATACAGAACAGATGAGAATCCCATTAGAGTAATAATCCAAGAGAGGCTCTGAAACTGAAGAAATCTCAAAAATATTTCAAATCTAATCCAGTGGTGTCTGTTTCTCCAAGACTAGAACGCAATTGAGAAATAAAAATAGCTTTGACCAATCAGCGGCCTCAGTTTAGCTGATGCAAGAGTCTAGAGAGTATGGTAACAGGGAAGAGCTTGACTGAAGCAGAGAGGTGACATGACCAGCTGTTGTTGCTGCCCTCTTCATCCCCTTCCCTCCTGGGCTAGTATTTCCGGAGCCCAGGACAGCATCTGGTACAGCAGCCATGGTCAATACTTTCTGAACGAGAGGAGGGATTTGCTCCTAGGAGAGCCAGTTCAGTAATTCATTTTCTCGTTGGTTGCCTGCACTCAGATTCCAGCTGCCCCAGCCATCTTCATATGATATAACCTGACTTTTCATGGAAACCCTTCCACAGAGGACGTGCTGGCCCATCAGTTACAGGCCCTGTGACAGTTAGGTTTCTCACTCCCAATTAATCCATCTGCTTTACGCATCACTTACATGTGGCAGCCTGCTTCTTACACATTCACACCCTTCTCTCGTCACTGGTGTAGTGGAGTTTCTGCTGTAGAGTCATCCTGCTCTGAATTCTTAGCATATTACTAAGCTATTTGACTTTGGCCAACACACCTCTTGAGCCTCAGTTTTCTTATCTGTCAAACAGGGACATGATACCCAACTCATGAGGCGATGGTGAGAGTTACCTGGCATAATGGACATAGCCTAGATTCTTACTGGTAAATGTTACTGTCTGTGTCTCTTCTTTCTTTTCTTAGAGACTGGGTCACAAATGATGATGCAGTTTAGAATATCAGTATCGTTTGCTTTTCATTCTCAAAAAAAATCATTGACTTTGTAAGTGAAACTTCGGGGACAATTCAGTCACACCCCTACAGATTCTAAAGGGTTATTTCTACCAGGAGGGTAACTCATATAAATGTAAAAAATACTTACTGGGGGACCTGAGTGTAGTTCAGTGGTAGAAGTACTTGCTTAATGTGCACAAGCATTTTTCTTTCCTTTTTTTTTTTTTTTTCTTTTTAATTTAGGACTTTCTGTATGCTAGGGAGGTGTATAGAGACAATTAGATCCAGTTCCTGCCTTAAGAAATTCTGATGCAAAAAAAAAAAAAAAAAAAAAAAAGAAATTCTGATGCAGTTTGGTGCCCTTAAAAAAGGATACTGTGTGACCTTTACAAGCAATTTTACCTACTGAGTTGCAGTTCCCTTGCTTCATACCAATGGTCAATGACATTCCATTGTTAACTGGAGAAAAGAAGTAAGACATGTAGAAATGATAATGAAGCAAACGGGGTGTGGTGGCTCACCCCTGTAATCCCAGAACTGGAGAGGTTGAGGCAGGAGAATTGTTGCAAATTCAAGACTAGCCTAGGCTACAAAGTGAGCTCAAGGCCAGCCTGAACTGCGTAGAGAGAACCTGTCTCAAAAAGACAAAAAAAAAAAAAAAAGAAAAAAGAAAAGAAAAGAAATGATAATGAAGCTAAATCAAGTTTGGAAACGTGTTGAAGGTGTTGAGGAATGGCTGGGATTACTTTTAGCTGAGCTGAAGAAGCAAGGCTTTTGAAGGAAGTGGCATTTGAACAAAGGCTTCTTTCAGCCCACAAACAGGAATAAAGGCCTTGAATGCCAGGTACAATTTCAATGGGCAGTGATTTGCAAAATAGGGTACTGAATGAAAGTTTTGAAGGCCAAAGAAGGGACCATGGGTGTGGCTGGTTATAAAACTACTTTCCTTTGGGGAGAGGTGGCACTGGGGATTAAACCTAGGGCGTAGGAAGTGCTCTATCATTTCCATACAACCTTAGTCCCCACACCTTTTTTTAGGCAGTGTCTCACAAATTTGCTCCCACCGGCCTTAAACATGGAATCTTCCTGCCTCAGCCTCCCAAGTGGCTAGGATTACAAAACATGCATCATCATATGCAGCTTACATTTTTAAAATGAAAGTTGAATCTTATTAAAGGATTGTTTAAATGAAAGTTAACCCAAAGAAAGAATAAATTATCTAGAACACATTGTGAGCAGGACATTGTGCTAGGTGGCATAATACAGGAGAAAAAGATGTCAACATGTAAATTATGCTCTCAAAGTGATTATAATAAAAAAAGGTCAAATAATGGTAACACACACCTGAAATTCCAATACCTATGAGGCTGAAGCAGGAGGACTGTGAGTTTGAGGCCTGCTTGGGTTATGTAGCAAGATCAAATTTAGCCTGGAATATATAGTGAACTATATAGTAGGACTCTGTTTCAAAAAAAAAAGGAAGAGCAAAAGAGGCCAGGTGTAGTGGTATAAGCCTATAATCCCATCATTCTGGGGGCCGAGGCAGGAAGATTACAAATTCTAGCCCTGAACAATTGTCTCCAAAAAAAAATTTTTTTAATGTTTTTAAATGGCTGGAGATGTAGCTCAGTGCAAATGTTCTGCATTCAATCCCTAGTACAAAACAAAACAAAACAAAAAAGAAAAGAAAAAGACTAGATAAGACATACAGATAGAAAACTACAACCCAAGGTAATACATGAAAAATATTAAAAGAAACCACCCTAAGTGTCTGTGGGGCTCAAAAGAGAATGGAGATTCATTTCCTTCTCCCAAGAAGCTGAAGGCAGGAGGCCAAGCTCCAAAGGCTCATTCTTGGGAATCCTAAACCAGACTCTGAATGTCATAGCAGTAACCTGTTTGGTCTAGTCCACCCTCACACTCTTAAAACAGTGATTGATTTATTTATTTGGTACGGGGGATCACTAAGGCCACTGAGCTAAATCCCCAGCGCCAAACAGTGATTTTTAAATCGAAGGAACAAAAAGAGGGGTCTGAAGACAAAACGCAAAGGGGCTTTCTGGGAAATAGATGAATTCAGCTTTCAGGCATTAAAATGCTAACTGAGGTAACCTCCTTGCAAAAGGAAATTTAAGGGGCAGGAAGAGGATAAGATCAGAGAGAGTGTGTCTGGAAACAAGAAGGGTAAAACAGAAACTAAGGGAGCACCCACGTTAGAGAGTGGGAGGAAAAAGAAGTCAGAGGAGTGGCCAGAGGGCCAAACTGGAATAAACCCAGCAGAACACGTTGTTACGAAGTTTCGAGAAACAGGATGGCAGGGGTGGAGGATGTGATAGGAGAAGGCAGCAAGGGAGAAGGGGAAAAAATTGCAGCAATAGAGCCTGAGATAGGTCGTGAGGTTGCCAACGGCATTTCAGCGCATGGGGCTCCTCGGGAGACTCCGTAAACGAGGTGGATTCCCTGTGCCTGGCATATTTGCAGGTGGAGTCCTCTCCGAGGCCTAGGGCAACAGGGTGGCGTTCTCTGGCTTCCAAATGTCTGGTACTCAGTTCTATAATTAGCACCACTAGATACCGCGGAACCAAACCTCTCCCAACCCTAACCAGTCCCTCCAGGAACTGAAAAGCTCACTTGGGAGGGATTTCACACCTGGCTCTCTGGCCCAGCCCATAATGTCCGTTTCATCATGCAGCTCTAATGACTCTTCGGGATGTCACTCTCTTCTGGTATTGCCAGCGATATGACTAAAGCCTCTTGCAAAAGTTTGCAGCATTCGTCGGAGGCCGACTACAGCTCCCAGAGTTCCCAGGAGCTTCCCAAAGCCGATTGGCTAAACAGTTGGCTCCAGAGGGAGGTGTAGCCCCTGCCTCCCCGGGAAACAAGCGTCTGATTGGCTGAGCCTCGGGGCTTTTGTGTCCCCGCCCTCCCCCCCCGGGACCGCAGCCGGTTGAGCGGCGCTGCTGGTGTCAGAGCTGAGCGAGCGCTGGCAGTTCCGCGGCGGGGATGCTGAGGAGCGCTGGGTCTGGGAGCAGCGCTGACCACCGCGGACTTCCGAGGCACTCGGAACCGTGAGAACACCCGCATCGCGGCCAATCCCAGGCCTCCGAAGCCATCCACTATTCCAGAAACCAGGCTGGGGAAAGAGTCCAGCTAAACGGCAGTCATCTTTCGGATAGCGAGCGTCCTGGAACCCCGAGAGACACCCCGGAGTTCCAGAAGCTCCAGGGCGGCCCCTAGCCCCGGCTTCCTGCGAGCGTCGGTCCAAGACCCCCTCCTCCGGTGCATAGGTCGTCTGCCCGCCGCGGCTGGGTCCAGCGCACACCATGATCGTTGCGGACCCGGAGTGCCGCTCCGAGCTCAAGGGCTACCTGCCGTTCGCCCGGGGCGGCGTCGGAGACCCGGGGGCCGGAGAGGTAAGCGGTGGCCGAGCGACGCCACACTTCCCGGAGCGTTCGAGCCTCGGGCTGTCCGGAGCTGAATCCGCGCGCCCCCCGGGCGCCGGGAGGGGAGTGAAGCGCGTAAACCCAGACCAGGGTTGCATCAACTGCAGCCTCCGGCCTCTCCTCTTTTCGCCACCCCTCGGCCCCTCCCCCTGCCCCCCATCCCCACCCCCATCCTGGCAACCAGAGCCCTCCCTGGTTCTCCTGGACTCCGGACGAGTGAGTGGGAAGCCTTTTCGGGGCTCTCCGGGCTTCGGGCTCTCGTGGAGAGAGCGTCTTCAAGTCCAGGCAAATCCCAGCCGGAGCGGCCCGACCACTCCTCCTCCCCGCCCCCTGCACAGTTTCCCTTCCTCTCGGCGGAGGCCGGCGGGCCCAGGACTCTTTCTAGGATCGGTCCCCGCTCCAGTCCCTCAGCTTGGGGAAAAGGGCACTTGGGACTGGCCAAAGAAGGTCAACCCCTCCTCCTGCTCTCGCCCGTACCTCCGATTTGGAAGGGGGCGCGGGTGCGGATGCTCTTGGGGTTTGGCTGACTGCCTGGTACGTGATAGCGGCAGCCAAAGCTGGGGGAAGAGAGGGCAACTCTGGCTGTGGCGCGTGAAGCCTCGTTCTGATTGGGCTGCTCCTTATTAAGTGGTCTAGGGTCTTAGAAGTTTTTTTCTCAGGGACTTCCCCCTCCCTACCCCTTACAGAGCCTAGGGGCTTTGCCTGGAAGCAAGAATAAAGACGGACCAATTCAACAACTGTCCTGCCATCCCCATTACAGCAGTGGCTGTGAACATATTTATTGAGCACCTGCTGGATGCCAGGCGCAGGGGTTTGTGTGGTCTCTGGGTCCTCTGAACTAAACCAGCAAAAAAAAAGCATATATACTATACCCCCCGCTTTTTTTTTTTTTTTTTTTTTTTGTCTTTTTCCTTTTTATCGGTACCGGGGATTGAACTCACGACTGCCTGCTTGCAAGACAGGCACTTATGCCACTGAGCTAAATCCCCAGCCCCACTATACCCCCATTTTACAGGATGAGAAAATTGAGGCATAGGAGGGGCTGAGACAGAGCCCTTCCTTCACTGGGTGTCTTTCTTTAGCCTGGGTATCTCTAGGATTTTGGACAGTGCTTGACACAAGAGGGGATTCTGCTTGTTTCTTTAGTTTCCTAGCCTAGATTGTTGTGGAGGTGAGTGTGTTTGGAGGCTGAGTCAGTGGCACGCTAGTGCTAGAGTGTGGCCCAGGGAAAATCTCCATTCTGCTCTGCGCGGTTTCTGGGGGTTTTTGTTACTTGCTTTTCATTATAGTTATTTTTCAGTATTGGGAATTGAATTTAGTGCTTCTCACATGCTAGGCAAGTGCTCTTAACACCTTGCTACATCCTTGGCTCTCATGTTACGTTTCTTTACCATTTCCCACCACAGCTTAGGAGCCCCATATGGAGGAATCCTCACTTTTGCCTTTTCTCATCTGAATCAATTTAGTCTGTTTCTTTATGAAAAAATGGAAATCATGTTATTGAGATACCTTGTCTCACTGGAGTAAAGCACGTGCTGGGTTGGTGTCCCAACCTTCCATTTATTGTGTCACCTCAGCCAAGTGACACAGTTCTTCTCATGGGTATCTCTATGTAACTGTTGGAAGAATTAACTTAGAATACAAGCAAAGGCTGAAACATAGTGCCTGGTTCCTAGTACTACATGAAACATGGTAATGGGAACCAAAATACTAACTACTGTCAGAATATGGTCATCTCCCTTTTCAGGATTCAACCTTTCCTTTTTTTTTTTTTTTTTTTTTTTGTCTTTTTCCTTTTTATTGGTACCGGGGATCGAACTCACGACTGCCTGCTTCCAAGGCAGGCGCTTATGCCGCTGAGCTAAACCTCCAGCCCCAGATTCAACCTTTCTGATCTATTCCCTCCCCTTCTCTGGAACCGGATCTGGAAAGTAGTCTAAGGAGAAGAGTGCCACAGGTAGTGTGGGCAGGCTTCCAGAGACTTAGAGGAAGTCATTTTTCAGTGGAATGGTGGTATGTCTGAGGTATTTCTCCAAATTTTTCTGTAGAAGACCTTGGGAAGTGGAATCCTTGAGATATAGCAGTGTGCCAGACTTACAGAGCCAGGTCCAAGGGAAGGACCTAATGCGTAGGTCATTCATCAATACCTTCAGACAGTTCTGAGGGTTGCCCTCAGTCTGGTACTACTTGTGTGTTTTGAAAGCTGTATTGGGCTCTAGAAGTTCCCCACAAGATGAGTTTCTTTGCACATCTTCTTCCGTTGATCCTGGTCCTCTCCATGGCTGGAGTTTTGGAGCCAATGATGTGAAGCAGTTACTTTGTTCACATAAATTAGGTGTTGCTCCTCAGTCTCTCTTGTCACACTAGGCAAACTCTGCAATTCTCAACCCCAGTACTGTCATCTGCCCCTAAGCAGCGCTTAGCTCACAGTTTTCTCCCTGTCTGGCTTAGTTACTCCTTGTAAATTAAATTATTCTGGCTTTGAGGTCAGACTGGAATTGTGCCTGTCTCTAAAGAAGGGATAAACAATACCTGTTTCCCTTGGGATGACTGTGAGGCTTCAGTGAGATGATATGCAAAGCTGGTTGGATGTGGGGCTGTTCACACTATCCTTCTGGGGTGCGAACCCAGACAAATACCTCAGTTCAGCTACTAGGACTCAGGGAGAAGTATGTGCCCTTTCCTGGTCAACATAGTGATGAAACAAGGGTCTGTAGCTGAGACCCAGGGTTTGCAGATCCAAATATCAAGAACAAAGGTGGAGCTACTCCAAGAGGCCAACCAGATGGTGGACAGAAGCCTGGGGAGCCAAACTAAGCTGGACTCAAATCTCTGGGCCTGCAGCCACTTCCCAAAGCTCTTGTGGTACAGTGTAAAAGCCCTCAGGATACCAGGCATTCCTGAGTTTAAATTGCAGATTAGCCACTGGTCAGCTGGTAGTTCACTTTTAGACCAATAATCTTTCTTTGTTTGCAAATTAGTGTCCCCTTTATCCCCAAACTAATGAAGATTGTATGGAACCTTCCTGCAAGTACCAGACTAATGTCTCCTGGGGCACTTGAATTGGGAGCCAGGCCCTGAACTTTTAAGGCAGTTAGCCTCTTTTTACCAATGGCCTGAAAACCTCCTGTTGAGTGACCTCCCAGAGAGCAGTCTCACTTCATTGTTTCTGCTGGCCTCTTGTCACTGGCCCAGTTGGAATTGTAAAGCACAGCCCTCATTAGGTTCCCCTGCCCCATGTTAGCTGTGTTCCTTGGGCAGGTGACCAGGTCCCTCTGGGTTTCCTTTTTTATCTGTAAAATCCAGGTAGAGTCACGAAGCACATCTTTAACAGGTGTGCTGAATGTGGGCTCACTGGCCATTTAGATTTACAGAGCTGACCTGGTGTGGCGGGGACCTGCAACACAGCTACTCCCAGCAGGAGGTGGAGGCTGAGGCAGGTGGATCACAAATTCAAGACCAATCTGGGCAACATAGGGAGAGTCCAAGACTCCATCTCCAAAAAAATAAATTCAAATAACAGGGAAGTTTTGGTTTTTTTCTTTGTGTTGCACAAAGAAAGTCACATTTCAAATGCTCAGCCTCCGTGACTAGGCGCCATAGTATGTGTTAGACGAGGAGGATGTAAAACATTCCAGCATCACAGAAAGTTCTGTTGGATTTGGCTGTGCAGGACACTGGAGTAACTGGAGAAGTAGAGGTTGAGTCTGTCCTCAAGGTAAGAAGCAGTGATGAACGTTGTGGTTAGAGGCAGTGGGTCCCTGGGCCTGTGGGTAGAGACAAGAAGCAGCTCACTCTTGGTGAACTCCAGGGCCCCCAGGTCTCACCTACTGTTGAGACCCTGAGAAGTGTATACAGGGGAAATAGTTACTGAACTTGAAGAAATCTGATCCAACTCTTCCACTACCTCCTTTCTGGCTGAGTGACCAAAAGTTTGCTAAAGTTTTATCCTTTTTTTTTTTTGTATTTTTACCGGTACCAGGGATCTAGCTCACAACCACAGGCTTGCAAGGCAGGCACTTATGCCGCTGAGCTAAATCCCCAGCCCCTTTTTTTTGTCTTTTTGAGACAGGGTCTCACTGTGCAGTTCAGGCTGGCCTTGAGCTCACTTTGTAGCCTAGGCTGGTCTCGAACTCAGCCTCCTGAGTGCTGGGCGGCTAAAGTTTTATCCTTATCTGTAAAATGGATGGTAGTAGCAGTCTCTTATTTTAAAGTCTAGATGGTGCCTGTGCCTAAGTCAATGCTTAGCCAATGATGACCCTCCTCATCGCTGTTATTTTCCTGTGGATGAACTCACAACCTGACGCTTGATTTTTTGCCCTCAGGGAATGGGGGGAGGGCTGGGCAATGGGATTCCACTCTGTCTGCCTTCCCTGGACTCCCCCTGGTGTCAAGATCAGGGAAGCATCCTGGGTATTAGAGCCATAGATTCTTAGCTCTTGGTCTTGCTTTCAGGGCTTTTCATTCTCTATTTCTCGTGGCTGGAGTACTGGTCCCCTAAGTCTTCAAAGGTCACCTCACCAGTGGCTTTTCTTGTTCACTTACACTGAAATAGTGTACATTCTCCCACCCTGTTATCATTACTTTCATTGCTCTGTTTTGTTCACTTTTTTATGAATTCAAATCCTGTTCATCATGACTTTCTGCACAAGTCCAAAATTATATGAAGGCTGAGACTTTGTCTTTTCACTGTTGTGTTCTTGCTGCCTACAATAGAATCATCGAATTGTTCACCAAATGAACAAATTCTGATTCCACCTGGGAAGCACTTAGCACAATGCCTTATACTTGAAAGTAATCAATAAATAGTGCAAATAATGGTTCTCAGCTCGTGGCTGCTGCATTTTAGTGGGGCCCCACCCCAAACCAACTCAGCATAATTAACAGTCAAACATCAGTAATTCTGAAAACTTTCTAAAAAGGATTCTAATGGACTGGTTGGTTGGAGAAGCTCTTGTTTGAAATAACAGTGAGATTAATGCCAGCTGACTTTTATTAAGTACCTTGGATGATGGAGGTGCAGAGGTTAGCCTTGTAGCACTATGTCATTAAATCCTCAGGAAACCCCAGGGAAATTAGTTACTATTCCTGTTAGTTGATGAGGAAACCGAGACTCATAGCTAACAGACAGCAGGTAGTAGAGCTGTAATCTGAGCCCCAGCAGTTGTGTCAAAAGCCCCTATCTTGCTGGGCTTGGTGGTGCACACCTGTGACCCTAGCATTCTTTGAGGCTGAGGCAAGAGAATCACCTCCAGTTCAAGGCCAGCCTGGGCTACATAGTAAGTTTGAGGCCAGTCTGAACTACATAGCAAGAACCTATCTCAAAAAAGCAAAACAAAGCAAAGGCAAAACCAAACAAAACTACACTGGCTTTGCTGCTGTTGGAAGATGTTGATGGATCTAACCCAACACAAACAGATGCCAGGGTATCCACTGTTACTTTCTATAGCTCCCGGGCAGAATTTGAAGTGAGGTGATCCGAAGGCTGTTCCTGTTCCTCCTTGGTATCTCCAGTGAGCCCAGGACTCTTGTGGTTCCCTACCCCAATTTTGCCTGCCCCAGTATGGTTTTCTGTCTGTCCTCAGATCCACAAAGGGGAGGCAGTTTGGAATCAGCAGTTCTTATCTCCCAGACTGAGCTGCAGGGTTTTTTCTCGTGGGTGAGGGAGGACTGCAGCTGTAAAGGGAGTGTTTCTAGCATTGATGTGGCTACTATGCTGGCCTTGGACCAACCTGGCATGATCACTCCCAGTGCTGCCTGGGCCGAAAGGGGCCTGAACAGTGAGCTCAGCCCACTTTATTCAGAATTAAGGCCTAGTGAATCTAGATTACTTTTCCAGAGCCACACAGCAAGTATGGGGCAGTATATTGGTTACCTGGCACCACAGACTTACAAGTCTCATGGTTGTTTCCTTTGTGAATGTTCAGACACCCCACAAATCTGCCTCTGGAGGCTTTTGGCCAATCTGAAAAAGAAGGTTGCAGTTACAGTTTTTAGTTCCTGGCATACTAAGTCTGGATATTTTTGTTTGTTTGTTGAGACAGGGTCTCTCTACATAGCCCAGGATATTGGTGATCTTTCTGCCTCAGCCTCTTAAAGCTGGAATTAAGACATGCCCATTCATGCCTGGCTTAAGGCAGGATCTTAATGGAAAGGAAGGTTAGGGAACTCTGTCCCTTTCCAGTGAAGGCATGGCTCTGATTTGAGTAAGGTAGCTAGTATAAAAGAGCCTTTCTTTCAAATTAAGTGAATAAATAAAATATCCTTCCTGAACTTCATCTCTAGGACTAGAATAAGCAGGTTTAATGGTTGATTTGTTTGTTTGTTTTTGGTTTTTGCTTGTTTATTTTGAGATAGGGTTTCCCTTTGTACTTCAGGCTGGACCTGAACCCACTATGTGGCCCATGTTGACCTCAAACTCTGAATCTTTGTGCCTCAGCTTCTTGCAACCTGGGAATAAAGGCATGCACCACCATATCCAGCTGAAACAGGTTTAATGTGAACATAATTTTTTTTTTTTTTTTTTTTTTTATTTAAGAGGAATGTGAACATAATTGTTATGGGTTGAATCTAGATGTCCTCTCAAAGTCCTTTATGGTCATATGTGAGGCTTTTCAGAGGTAACTGGATCAGGAATATGTGACACTGGGATTCATTCATAGTGCAATGCCAGGCTTAAGGGTGTGTGTGCTACCTGCCCTAAGGACAGATAGCCTAGGTAAGATATAAGGGACCGAGAGAGGCTTGTGTCTTGCTTGCTCTTGTGGTTGTCTGCCATGAACTGTTAATCCTCTGCAATGCCCCTCTGTTGTGCCGCCCTGCCTTGGAGCCAGTTGAATATGGATTGAAACCTGTACAGACTGTGAGTTGAATTAAACCTTTCCTCCTTTAACCTTGGATGTTGGTTGTTTTTGTCTCAGTAACAACAACAACAAAAAAAACTAAGACAAGGATTCTGGTAGCTTCTAGAGAAATGCAAATACATTTGTGTTGGCACAAATGTTCTCATCAGCCTTGGGCACCTTGCTGTGGTTCCTTCCATGCTGTTTTCATTCACAGAACACAATGAATGACCTGGTCCTTCTCTCCACAAAACTGGGATTAGAGCAATTTAAAACAGGATTAGAGGACAGTATTGGGAGGGAAGGGGATCAGCAATGGAACTCAGGACCTTGGTAAATATACTGAGCTGGGCCTGAGAACAGTATTTTCAGAAGCAAATCATTGTTGTCTTAGGTTAATTTTCTCATTGCTGAGACAAAATGCCTGACACCCACAAGTTAAAAGAAGAAATGTTTGTTTGAATTTACGGTTTGTAGAAATTTCAGTTCACAGTTGTCTGGCTCCAAGCCAGGATAGCACGGCGGAGGAGGGGCATCGCAGAGGAGAAATGGTCCATGGCAAGCAGGCAGGAGACAACACAGGAGCAAGCAGAAGGCAACAAAGCAAAGGAAGTAGCCAAGCAGTTTCTTTCTGTCCCTTTATATTCCATCCAGGCATTCACCTTCCTGGTGGAGCACCCTTAATCCCAGCATCACACGTGCTAATCCAGCCACCTTTGAAACTCCCCACCTATGACCACATGAGGCTCTGGGGGCTTATCTAGATACAGCCATAACAACTGGGAACTGGGGTCACTGAACAGCATCAGGAAAATGTTCCTAGGATTGTAAAGAGATAGCTTTGCAGAGGAAATGACAGTGAGTAGGGGTGGGCTTGGACTGTTCACTTTTTTGGAAGGCTGTGTTGGGGTAGGGGGGATTTGAAGCCAGTTGATCAGATTTACACATCAGAACCTTAACCTGGCTGCTGTGAGGAAGTTGGAGGAGAGGGGGCGTGAGGGCCAGGGAGGCAGGGAGACAACTAGGAGGTTGTGGACAGGGAGGGTCAGAGAAACCGTGATGGGAGGGGAAATGAGGTTCCTTTCTGGGCATCTAATGTACTTGGTTACTGGCTTTAGGAGACAGGTGGCAGGCAGTTCTTACTGGTTTTATGGATTGCTAAGACAGTGGCCTCAGATGTATAACTTGATGTCTATTTCCTTTCTCTGGGTCTTTTCCACCCAGAAATACTGAGACTCCTGGGTTCCTGCCCAGTTCCTGAACATTTTAGCCTAGGATTAGCCCTGACTTGTTCATCAGCCACCGAAGGGGTAGAAATTTCCATGCAGGTTGCACCAGTGGCTCTGTCTATTATGTGGCTTAGGCAGGTTTCAAACTCGCAGTGATCCTCCTACCTCAGTCTCCAGAGCACAGGTGTAGGATTATAGGTGCTTGTCACCATGCCTGGCACCATGTAATACTTAAAACTTGTGTGATTCATTTTGCGTAACATCATAGTTTTAAGGTTGATCCATTTTCCCACACATGAATGAGGTTTATCTTTATGGTCACGTAGTACTTCATTAGGTATAAATATTGCATTTTCTTTACCCGTTCACCTGCTGCTTCCAACATTTAGCTATTAAGAGCTGTGTTGTTGGGGCTGGGGATTTAGCTCAGCGGCATAAGCTCCTGCCTTGCAAGCAGGCGGTCGTGAGTTCGATCCCTGGTACCGATAAAAAACCGAAAAAGGAAAAAAAAAAAAAAGAGCTGTGTTGTTACAGTTGTTACAATACAGTTGCTTATGTATCACTGTGCTATAATGCCTTTAGTTCTTTTGGGAAGATATCTACAAGGGGAATAGCTGGATTGAGTGGAAGTTCTAATTTTAGGGTTTTTTGTTTGTTTGTTTGTTTGTTTGTTTGTTTATGGGGAGGGGATGGGGTTTTTTTTGTTTTTTTGTTTTGGTGCTGTGGATTGAACTCACAACCTGGTGTGTGCCAAGCAGGCACTTACACCGCTAAGCTAAACCCCCTGCCCCTCCGTACTGATTTCTACAGTAGTTATACCACTTTATGACACCCACCAACAGCCAGCAGCATGTATTGTTTGTTGTTGTATCTTTGCTTTTTTTTTTTAATGATAGCCAGTCTTTCTGGAATAAGATGGAATCTCAGTGTTTTTTTTTAATTTGCATATCTCTGATGGCCCAAGATGTTAAAAGACAGAAGCTCATCAGCTCATCAGAGCCCTCAGGGTTGGAGGAGGAGGCTGGAGAGAGATCAGTCCCCTTTATCCTTAACTAACAAGCATGTTTCCTTCTAGGAGCAGAGGGAGAGCCGGCCTCGGCGTGGCCCTCGAGGGCCCAGTGCCTTTATCCCAGTGGAAGAGGTAAGTCTGAAAGAGGTTAAGATGTCTTTGGTTCCAGTAAAAATAGGACACTGGATATTGATGGGAAGAGGGCCTCCTGCTTAAATTGTAGTTCTGTGACTACTCCTTTCCCATTTCTGATTCATTTAACTCACAAAACAGCTCTTTGAAATAGGTACTTTTATTCCTATTTCCCTCAGAAGGAAAAGGCTTAGACAGATAAAATGATAACAGCCAAACTTTTGTGTGTGAGGTTTTTGTTTTTGTTTTTTATTTTTTGGTTTGGTTTGGGTTTTTTTTTGGAGGGGGTCTTTTTTTTCTTTTTTGGTATCAGGAATCGAACTCAGGGCCTCAAATTTGCAAGGAGGCACTGCACTGCTGAGCTACATCTCTGTCCCCTTGTGTTTTGTTTTTGGTTTGTTTGTTTGTTTGTTTGTTTGAGACATCGTCTGCTATGCAGTATGGACTGGCCTTGAATTCAATTATGTAGCCCAGGGTGGCCTCAAACTCAAAGTGATCCACCTCAGTTTCCCAAGCACAGGGCTTACAGGTGTGCACCACCACATCCAGCTTATCCTCTGGTTTTTTGAGACAGGGTCTCACTACATAGTTCAGGCTCACTTTGAACTCATGGTAGACCTCCTGCCTCAGTCTCCTGAAGGCTGAAATTACAGGCATGTGCCACCATGCCTGGATTTTAATAGCCAAACCTTTGATTCCCAGTCCAACCCCTGGTTTTCCTTAATAAAATAGAACTGTCTCTATGCATCTTGTCACCCTTGATTGTACACGTATTATGGAAAAGTTTTCTGGCTTTAAAAGTAATATAGGTTCATTATTTTTAAATTTCTAGTGTTTCAGAAAACTCTGGTCTCTTGTTATTCTGTCCTCTGTGTAGCTCACTACTGTTAATCATTTGCCATGGTTTTTTGGCCTTTTCTTCATACAGGTATTTGTTTTCAGTATAGAAATAAAGTCACAGTTTATTGCTTGTGTTTTGTTTTTTTCACTTACTATTTTAGAGACATCTTTCATTTATAGAGTCAATCAGTTCATTTGTTTATTTACAGCGCTGGGGATTGAACCCAGGCTTTATGTATGTTAGGCAAGCACTCTTCCACTGAGCTACACTGTAGGCTGGCATGCATTCTTGTAACAGCTATCTGCTGGATGACAAAAGCTGTGTAAAGCATTGTTCTAGGAAATAGGGACAGAGAGCAAGACAGGCAAAAGTCTTTGCCATCATGGAACTTTACTCTAGTTAGTGTCCATGGTACTTTCAAAACACATTCACAGAAAGATTTTAAATTGACTGCTCATTTCCTTTGGCCCCTAAGTAGGGAAAAATGTTTTGTTTAGTATCTCTTCCTCTTGTAAATGTGCAGACCAAAATGATTAATGACCTGTTACCAATTTCTAGAGTCCCTGTTTTTTGTGTTTTTAGGTTCCCTGTTTTCCCTTGTTCTTCATAAATGTAAGATAAACGCCCACTGATTATTTATATCAGTATCCCAAAATTTTAAGCTCACATATTATTCTCATAGTATTTTTTTCTTTTTTTTTTTTGCGGTTTTACATAACTCCTTACTTATAATAAAGGAAAGAAACAGGACTTAGATTTGAACCCTGGTTCTGTCATTTAACATGTCTGTGTCCTTAACAAGGAACAATATCAGCATGGTTTCCTCATCTGTCAGTGGGGAAAGGAATAGTAACCTTATAGGATGTTTGGAAGATTTAATAAAAACCCTTGGGAAATGTGAACCATTTTTTGCATTTGGCTTTAATGGGTGTGTGCATTTACCATGGTAGAATAGAAGCTCCATGAATGATCAAGAACGTGTATTCTTTTCTTTTACATACATGCTAATTATGGAATTACATACATGCTAAGCACACTACTCTACCATTGAGCTATAACCTCAGCTCCCAGAACCTCTAATTTGAGTTGCTGTGTCTGAGTTTTCCTATTTAAAAATGGAAAAGGAGCTAGGGATTCTATCACTGCCAGAAACATAACTAAATAGAAAGGAGAAAATAGTACTCCGTTCTCATAGTTGTTGTGAGGATGGGTTTATTTTCTTTTTTTTTTTTTTTTTTTTTTTTTTTTGTCTTTTTCGTTTTTATCGGTACCAGGGATCGAACTCACGACTGCCTGCTTACAAGGCAGGTGCTTATGCCGCTGAGCTAAATCCCCAGCCCCGGATGGGTTTATTTTCACTGAGGATCAAACGTAGGGACCGATGCATCCGAGACAATAGCTCTGGTACTTACCCAGTTTCCGTAAGAATCACATGAGTTGATGTACAGAAATTACTTGAACAATGCTTGGCTCAAAGTATTCTATAAATATTGACTAGTATTATGTAATAAGACACCTGGTAAGATTTTGTTTAATCACTTAATGAACTATCTTTTCCTCTCCATTCTTCTCTTTTTGGACATGGTAGTGATCTTTACCCTTCTGCTTTTATACCCGCCACAGAAGACACTGGTCTCTGCTAGTGGGAATGGACAGGAGGTGACCCACTCTCCTGTGCTTGGCAGGTCCTTCGGGAGGGGGCTGAGAGCCTGGAGCAGCACCTGGGGCTGGAAGCGCTGATGTCCTCGGGGAGGGTAGACAACCTGGCAGTGGTGATGGGCCTGCACCCGGACTATCTTAGCAGCTTTTGGCGTCTGCATTACCTGTTGCTGCACACAGATGGGCCCCTGGCCAGCTCGTGGCGCCACTACATTGCCATCATGGTGAGTCCGTCTGCACCTGACCCTTGGAGGGATGGCTCTATGGGGGTTCTGTCCTTGGATCTCTTTGCTTGGGGCTTCCTGAATTGATTTCATAGATGAAGCAGAAGGGCCTAGCTTTGAGCTGGATGTGGTGGCACATGCCTATAACCTCAGCAGTTGGGAAGCTGAGGCAGGAAGATCGCAAGTTCAAGGTCAGCCAGGGTGACACGGCAAGTTCAAGGCCAGCCTGAACTGCATAGTGATATCCTATCTCAAGAAAAAAAGAAAAGAAAAGAAAGGTCTAGCTTTATCTGACTGTCCATAGAATTTTCATTTTGAAGAGAGACATCATTAGTGCCTACTTTAAAGATTAGGAAATTCAGCCAGGCATGGTGGCTCATGCTTGTAATCCCAGCACTCGGGAGGCTGAGGTGGGAGGATCGTTGTGAGTTCGATACCAGCCTGGGCTACAAAGTGAGCTGAAAGCCAGCCTGAACTGCAGAGCGAGACCCATCTCAAAAAAGACAAAAAAAAAAAAAGATTAAGAAATTGAGTGGCAAAGGAGTTAGACGAATTATAAAACTGGTAGAAAAGCTTAAGTTTAAAAAGCCTAGCTTTTCTGCCTCCTAGCAACAGTAAGTCCTAAGATACAACTCCCTCCAAGGGGTCTCACCCTGAATGAGGCATAGAAAGAGGAGAGTGACTCAGGCTCTGACATCCCCCTCCACAGGCTGCTGCCCGCCACCAGTGTTCTTACCTGGTGGGATCCCACATGACTGAGTTTCTGCAGACTGGTGGTGACCCTGAGTGGCTGCTGGGCCTCCATCGGGCCCCTGAGAAGCTGCGGAAACTCAGTGAGATCAACAAGTTGCTGGCGCATCGGCCGTGGCTGATTACCAAGGAACACATCCAGGTGCAGTAGATGGAGGCGGGTCCCTAAGGAAACCCCAGGACTTGGCTGAGACAGGGCAGACACTGAGCAGGTCTGACCTTCTGTATTCCGCAGGCCTTGCTGAAGACGGGCGAGCACAGCTGGTCCCTGGCTGAACTCATCCAAGCCCTGGTCCTGCTCACCCACTGCCATTCACTGGCCTCCTTTGTGTTTGGCTGTGGCATCCTTCCAGAGGGAGACTCAGAGGGCAGCCCTGCCCCCCAGGCACCATCTCCCCCTAGTGAGCAAAGCAGCCCCCCTAGTGGGGATCCACTGAACAACTCTAGGGTAAGTCACTGTGACCCTGGGTCTTGGGGAGAAAAGCTGGTATGATCTCCAGCCCTTAAGTTAAAGCCACTGTTTCCATATCTCTTCAGTCTGAGAGGCCACAAAAATGTTATGTGACTGTGAAGCTCAGTTTCCTCATCTGTTGAGTGGGAATAAAGACTGTACCCACCTTGGGTTGTGAAACATATTGACAGTTTTGGGCTGTGCAAAGAGCTCCATGGTAGAGTACTTGCCTACTATGAATGAGGTCCTGAGTTCGATCCCTATTACCACAGGAAAAATTTAAAAATACAAGTAATTTAAAAGTTACTGCAACGAGCTGGGTGTAATAGTGCACTCTTGTTTTTGTTTTGTTTTTTGTCTTTTCCTTTTTACCGGTACCAGGGATCGAACTCACGACTGCCTGCTTGCAAGGCAGGCGCTTATGCCGCTGAGCTAAATCCCCAGCCCCAATAGTGCACTCTTGTAATCCCATCACTCAGGAGGCTAAGGCAAGAGGATCATTACAAGTTCAAGACCAGTCTGGGCTACAAAGTGAGTCCAAAGCCACCCTGAACTGCACAGTGAGACCCTGTCTCAAAAAGATAAGAATAAAAAAGTTACCTGTAAGGAAAGTTGATCTAAGAAAAGACATGTGTGTCTTCGGTAGCCTGCAGCCCTTCTGTAGTTCACAGACCATGTAAACTGTATAGCACTATAGCTGGTTCCCAGGCTGCCCTGGGTCCTCCTGTGTGATCATTCAGGAAGGCCTGCTATCTGGGAAGGCCGAGGTGGAGTTTCCTGTGGGGAAAGGAAGAGGAAAACATGGTGAGCACTGGGTCCCTCCTGCAGGGCTTCGAGGCCGCCCGTGACGTGGAAGCTCTGATGGAACGCATGAGGCAGCTGCAGGACAGCCTGCTGCGGGACGAGGGAGCCTCTCAGGAGGAAATGGAGAGCCGCTTTGAGCTGGAGAAGTCCGAGAGCCTGCTGGTGACCCCCTCAGGTACAGGTTCCCGAGACTGTCCCCTTCTTAGCCATTTCTGTGAGGAACAGACAACTCCACACGTCATGCCTTAGAAGCAGCCTCTCAGCCGCCCTTCTCAGAGGTTCTGAGGCCTGTTAGCCTTTCTGGCTGTGTGACCACTGTAGTCACTTCCTGCCTCGGGGCCTCAGGATTGACATGATGAAGGGTAAATGAGCAAAATGTTTTAACACAAACCCTGGTCTAAAGTGACAGCTGCATAGAACTGTCACTATTACTATTTCTGGGGCCTTGCCTCCTGGGCCTATGTCTGGACCCACCTCCTCCTCAGCCCTGACTCTAGCCAAAGTCCTGCTCTTTCCCACTGCAGCAAGGGGTTCTCTCTACCCTTTTCTCTGTCCCTCCTTGCCCCCCATTTGATGATAAATCAGAAGCGAATCCCTGTGTGTCCATGCCTTGTGCTCACTATGACCTCTCTGACATGTTCCTCAGCTGACATACTGGAGCCTGCTCCACACCCAGACATGCTGTGCTTTGTAGAAGACCCTACTTTTGGGTATGAGGACTTCACCCGGCGAGGGGCTCAAGCACCCCCCACCTTCCGTGCCCAGGTAAGAGTCTCCCCATTGGTCTAGGCCATTGCTCTAGATTTACAGAGAAGCGGGGGACAGATAGTTTGAGTGATTAGGGTACCTTCTTGCAAAACTACATGATGGTACCGAGGGCCCCATGGATCTAGAAGGGACCCATTTATGTCCCAAGCTTGTAGTCCTGATTGTAGGAAGAAAGTCACCACTGAAGTACATACTTGTAGCTTTCTCAGGTTTGGTGTTTTATATTTGTTGTTTAGAGTCAGGTGTGATGGTGCACACCTGTAATCTCAGCACTTGGGAAACTGAAGCAGGAGGATTGACATGAATTCAAGACCAGCCTGGGCTACATAATGAGTTCAAAGCCAGCCTGGACTACATACACAATGAGACCTTGCCTCAAAAAGCCAAAACAACAACAAATCATAGTGTAGGGCGGGAACATTGTGGAAAGCCAGGGCTTGCTCTAAAGGTACAGAGGAGGGGGTCTCTCTGGCTAGCCTCAGGCACCAAGGTCTCACACACTGACCTCTTTGCATGTGCCTCAGGACTATACTTGGGAAGATCATGGCTACTCCTTGATCCAGCGGCTCTATCCTGAGGGTGGGCAGCTGCTAGATGAGAAGTTCCAGGCTGCCTATAGCCTCACCTACAACACCATCGCCATGCACAGTGGCGTGGACACCTCCGTGCTCCGCAGGGCCATCTGGAACTATATCCACTGTGTCTTTGGCATCAGGTGAGCGCGGGTTTCCTTGGTGAGGGTGTATGTGCACCACAAATCCTACTGTCAGCTCACTATTATTTTATTGTTGTTATTTCTTTTTTATTGCCTATACTATTTTTCTTTTTTTTTTTTTGTCTTTTTCCTTTTTATTGGTACCGGGGATCGAACTCACGACTGCCTGCTTGCAAGGCAGGTTCTTATGCCGCTGAGCTAAACCTCCAGCCCCTACCCATACTATTTTTCAAAGCACCTGTACTTTGTTAATATAAAAATTAGTAAGAGTCTTCCTTGTTTGAAACTCTTAACCCTACTCTGAAATAACTATGGTTGTGTGTGTGTGTGTGTGTGTGTGTGTGTGTGTGTGTGTGAGTATAAACATACCTAGAGGCACATCTATACATAATTATGTACATACACAATATACATGGCAGTGTATAGAGTTTATATTTCTTTTTTTTTTTTTTTTTTTTGTCTTTTTCGTTTTTATCGGTACCAGGGATCAAACTCATGACCGCACACTTGCAAGGAAGGCGCTTATGCCGCTGAGCTAAATCCCCAGGCCCCTATATTTCTATTTCAAATAGCAGATTTTCTCTCATGGTGAATAAGGTCAACATAGTACCCAGCTTTAGGGTACCTTAAACAGTACCATAGCCATTCAGTGAAATATAATGCAGCCATTAAAGGCTGGGGATGTAACTCAGTGGTATAGTATTTCCTAGCATGTGTAAGGCTCTGGGTTTTAACACCAGCACTGCAGAGAAGGGGCGGGGGAGAGAGTCTCTTTATTTTGCTATGGAAAGCATTCAGAATATATTGAGAAAAGAGTGTTACCAACCACAATCTTCTTTTGGTTCCTCTTTCTTTCTTTCTTCCTCTTTTTTTTTTTATTTGTGTGGGGGGGGGGCGTTGATTTTGTTTTGGGGGGGTTTTTTTGGTCCTGGAAATCGAACTCAGAACCTTGTGTTTGCCAGGCAAGTATTGTGCCGCTGAGGTATACCACCGGCCCTGTGTGTGTGTTTTTGTTTTGGCTTTTACTTTTTGTTTTTGCTCTTGCTTTTTAAGAGAGAAAGTGTCTCTCTGTAGTCCAGGCTGACCTCAAACTCAGCAATTCTTCTGCCTCAGCCTCCGGAGTATTGGGATTATAGGTGTGCATCACCAGCCTTCTGTTGTTTTTTGACTAAATGTGCGTGCATGGAAAATATGTTGCAGGCTATACACTAAAATGTTTAATAGAAGTTGTCCATATACTATAATATGATACTTGACGTTTTAATCTTGTGCTTATTAAGTCTTTCTGATTTTTTAGAATTGTGCTAAGGGTCAGACTCAGGGCCTTGAGATTTAAAAGCCTTTTCTTTTTCCTCCTTTTCTTCTTCTCCTCCTCCTTCTGCCTCTTTTTTTTTTTTTTTTTTTCTTTTTTATCAGTACCAGGGATCGAACTCACGACTGCACACTTGCAAGGCAGGCGCTTGTGCCGCTGAGCTAAATCCCCAGCCCCTTCTTATTTTGTTATTATTATTATTATGTAGCATGGAACTGGGGATTGAAATATATCCTCAGTCCTTCTTATTTTATAATTTGAAATTGGATGTCACTAAGTTACCCAGGTTGGACTCAGCTTTCTCAGCTTCCCAAAATGCTGAGATTACAGACACATGTGTCATCCCACCTAGTATCTTTTGTTTTTGCAGGGTAGGTTGTTGTTTAATTGGTAAGATCATATTGGATATATTCTGTGATTTGGATTTGTCACATAATAATGTATGAGCTACATTTCTTATCAGTGTGATAGCTCGTTTAATGCTTCTAAGCAAATATGTAGTATTCTGTTATAGCTATATTATAATCATTTAACTTTTTTTCTTCGTGAGACAGTCTTGCTATGTAGTTTAGGCTGGCCTTGAACTCACTATGTAGACCAGGTTGGTCTCATAATGAGATGATCCTCCTGCCTCAACCTCGTAGGTGCTAGGATTATAAGCATGTACCACAGTGCCTGGCTATAATTATTTTAATATTTCCCTATACTGTTGGCTGTTTGGATACTTTGCAGTTTTCCGCTCTTAGAAACACTATATACATTGATTAGTCTTATATATAAGTTCTCAAAGCTGCATGTGGTAGTGCACACCTGTAATCTCAACACTCTAGAGGCTGAAGTGGGAGGATTGGTTTGAGTCCAATGTCAGCCCTAGGCTACATAAGAAGTTCAAGGCCAGTCTGAACTACCTAGCAAAAGCCTGTCTCAAAAAACAACAACAGCAAAATAAGTTCTTGTAGATAATCTTAAATGTAAAATTACTTGTGAAAGAATTATTTTAATTCTTAAAAATCTCACTTTGATAACTGTCAAAATTCAAGTAATTAAGGCAAAAAATAATTTACCCAAATTCTGATACACCACCATAACATTCATATCCTGAGATGTTTTTTGGGATTTGTTTTTGTTTTTGTTTTTTTTATTTTTTATTCTTTTGTCTTTTTTGAGACGGGGTCTTACTATGGAGTTCAGGCTGGCCTTGAGCTCACTTTGTAGCCCAGGCTGGTCTCGAACTCACAAGGATCCTCCCACCCAGCCTCCCGATGGGATTACAGGCATGAGCCACCATGCCCGGCTTCCTGAGATGTTTTTCTCCTTTACTTTTTTCTTATGTGTCCTTTTTTTTTTTTTTTTTTAATAGTTGAAATTGTCATAATTATTTCATTTTAAAAATATATTGAAAAATATGTTGGCTGTCTATAAAAGAAGCAAATATGTTTAGCAAACAGAGTTGGAGTTGTGGCTCAGCAGTAGAGTGCTCGCTTAGATTAGCATGCCAGGAGGTTTGGATTCAGCCTCCAGCTTCACTGCAGAGAAAGTGAGGGAGAAAGGAGAAAGAGACATAGACAACAGAAAAAAGAAAGAACCTGGAAGCCATCTGTAAGGACTGAGGATATAGTTCAGTTGTTCCTGCCTCCAGTAAAAATCAAAACATCAAAAAATGAAAATGCCACAACCGGCGCTTAACTGTCAGACATTTGCTTCCTGACTTTTTTCTGTGTGCCAACAGCCAAAGTATACAGAGTTTCACCAAAAGATCTGTTGCCATTTTCTTGCTTGTTCATGTGCTTATTTTACTAAAAACATGAGTGAGGGTAGTGAGCATGGTCATTCCGTTTAACAGTCTATACCATTTACCAGTTTATACCAGTGATCATTGTAGAGTTCCAACTCAGGGTACCAAAGTGACATCTGAGAGTGTGTGACAAGCTAGTCCCAGGTTAGGCTTCTTCACTCATCTACCTGGCCCTTCCCCTCTCCCCGCTGTCCACTACCAGTTATGTGCTGATATGAACTCCAGTTTGTACCCTCATCTGTGAAGATGTATTCAAAGCTCACCAGATTGGCATGCAACAAAGAATTTTCCAGACTGGTCATCATTGATTTGCTTTTTGACCTTAAACAAATTAATTGCCTTCTCCAGGGATAGACCACAGTACTAGTTCCTCTTTGCCTTATCATCTTCTCTAAGGCAAATATACACTGACCTTTAGTGTAAAGTAGCAAATAAGCCCTGGAGCTCTGCAGGCCTGGGTTTGAAACCTATTCCCTGCTGTGTGACCCAGAGCAAATAATTTCACTTTCTGAATTTCAATTACCTCATCTGTAAAGTGGGCTGATGAGTACAGTGTTTGAGATGCAGAGCTGTATACCAGGGTAGAGAGGACGTTGAGGACACATCCACATGACACATAATTGATGGGGGAACAGCAGGCTCATTCCCTAGATGTCCTTAGGATGTCTCCTACAATTCTGCTGGCCTGGAATACATATCAGCTGTTTTGCTAAGAGGAACTAGGCTTTGTATTGCCTCCCACCTTCTGTTTGTTCTTTTGCAGGGGTGGGGGTAGGGAGAGTTGCTGCTTCCAGGAGCAAAGCGTAAGTAATGCTGTGGGGGTCTTTTCATCCAGGTATGATGACTATGACTACGGGGAGGTGAATCAGCTCCTGGAGCGGAACCTCAAAGTCTATATAAAGACTGTGGCCTGCTACCCAGAGAAGACCACCCGGAGAATGTACAACCTCTTTTGGAGGCACTTCCGCCACTCAGAGAAGGTAGCACCCTCAGGGGGAGGACCAGGATGGAAGTAAACAGGCTCAGCTAGTAGAGAGGAAAGGGGCAGGACCCAGAATGTGTCCAGCCAGGAGGGATAGCTGGACCTATTGTCCTGAGTTTAAGTCCTGCTCTACTGTGTGATTTCAGAAGCCATTTACTCACCTGGGAAGTGGGTCTGTGGGTCTTTTTTTTTTTTGTCTTTTTTAAAAATTTTTTTATCGGTACCAGGGATCGAACTCACGACCGCCTGCTTGCAAGGCAGGTGCTTATGCTGCTGAGCTAAATCCCCAGCCCCCTGGACTGTGGGTCTTTGCTTCCTATGAGCTCTTCAGTGGTAGCCTACTGGAGCAAGGTTCAAATTATAACACCACCACGTCATAGCATTGTGACTTTGGGCAAGTCACTTTGCTTCTCTGAGCTTTTCTGCTTTCTAGTGAGAGTAAACACTCCCTGCACTTTAAGGTTGTTGGAAGGATAAAATTAGAAAATGTATGTAAACCACTGATCCTGTGTAGGTGCCAGGTAGTGCTCACTCTTGTTTTAACTCTGGGGTGGAAAGACAAGGCATGATGGGGAAGAATGTGCTAGAAATTCTTCAGCATCTATTACACCAAACTGCTCTTCAAAGGTCAGAGCATTTATGTGGGAATAGGAAGGCTGAGCTGAGGGATCAGAGGTCATAGCAATCTGAGAGGGCTGCAAAACTCTTGTCAACAGCCCCCTGGTCTGTGTCCCAGGTCCACGTGAATTTGCTGCTCCTGGAAGCCCGCATGCAAGCTGCCTTGCTCTATGCCCTCCGTGCCATCACCCGCTACATGACCTGACTCCCTCCACGCAGGACCCACACCCGGAGCAGCTGAGCCTGGGGGCACCCTCCTCCCTGCAAGGACTTTTCTCTGTCCGGAGACAGACCCAGGACCCTTTCTGCCCCACGCCTGTGCATCCCATCATGGGGATGGGCTTGTGTGATGTGCAGCCCCCGAGTCACACCCTCCTCTTGTCTCTGGAATGGACCAAATCGTTGCACTGACTGACTCTGGAATCTGACCTCTCCTCATGGAACCTAGAAGAGGGCTAGGAGATCCTAGGTGCCATAGCCTTCCTCCTTCCCATGAGGCAGAGGGCACTAGAAAGAGGGGAATGGGCTACGCTGGGACTTTGGCCAGCAGGCCAAACACCAGGCACCAAGAGTGCCCTGGCCCTCCTGGACTGGAAAGTCCTTGGCTGGCCTCTGCAGTAGAGGGGCAAAGAGCTCCAGGGACCAGCACTCCAGGCAGCTTTGCCTTCCCTCCCACTCATTCCCATATTTCATTACCTCCCACCTGCCATTCACCCATCAATGTGAAAGTTGAGGTCACAGCTGGTCTGTGTGCCCAGTCTATCAAAAGCCTTTTCTATTGGGCAGCCTCAAGACCCCCTGTTCTGTGGTTGTCCAAGTCTTACTTCATACAGGGCTTTACCTCTTCACCCCTGTAACCCTTTCTCCCACAGTAAGAGACCCCTGGAGAAGGGCCAAACACATCCAAAGAACAGACTATCTCTAGAGGAGGATCCTCTGTTGGCCACTTTGCCATCTGAAGGAGGAGGGTGTATTCGAAGATAACTGATCTGTACTTGGGTCCTCTGTGGTTGAGATCAGACCTCTTCAGGGCTTCACCTTTGAAACCCGGTCAATGTCTGCAAGGAACAGAGGGAGGTTCTGTTCTCCCCAGGCTGCAGAGGTCAGTGCCCCTGCCTTCTCCCCAGGGGCCCTGCCAAGGACTTTTGCCAAAAAGTCGAGCCTTTCTAGGTAATTGACATGGCACCAGAGCCCAGTAAGGGAGGCTAACACCAGGCCCCTGCCACCGATTGAATGGCTGTAACCATATGTAACCATGTTGCCAAACCATTTTGACCACCCTCGTTGCATTATTGAGGGGTGATACTGAGTTTCCCAGTATCCAGTGCTTCATTCTGGGATCTCAGGTCAACAGCAGAGTGATTTTCTTACAAAATCCTGAAGGCATCTGGAGCACACACACACACACACACACACACACCCTGCCACAGTCAATCTCCTGGCTGCCTTCCAAGAACTTCACCTTTGTCCTAGGATCTGTCCCCACTCCTGGAATTCAGGTGTATTTGCTTGGCAACAGAAATAGCTATAAGAATGATCCCAAGCACTTTCTGCAGCAAACAACTGTGAATCGCAACCTCTCTTGCCCTTCTAGCAGCAGATGCCTCCTCCCGGGCCAATCTGGAGGTGCCTGGGAAAGTCAGGGGTACAATGCTGCTGTTCTCACCTCCCTCCCTGGGTGGCAGGAAAGGAACCTGGCCATTGTGCCACATTTCATACCCATGCAAGCATGGGGAAGCGACTGGCAACCCCCTAGGCATAAAAGCCCTCCCCGTGAAGAAGATTGGCAGGAGGGGAGGGGTCACAGCATGGGGGTTTGAGTTCCAGAGGGGACATAATGACGGAATGTGTCCCCTGGGTGGGTAGGAAGGGGTATCCAGTGTTCAAGTTGACCTTTGACCTCACTACTGGTTGTATATGATGAGAAATAAAAGTTCACTAAGGTTTTGTTTTGTATCTCTTGCTAGTGGACTATTTTTTCAATTTCCTGAAGGTCAAGGTTTACCTCCTAGCACAAGTAGGGAACTGTGATTGCATCATGGATTGGACCTGATAGCCCCTGCCCTGCCAGGTGCTTGTGCTTGGTGATTGCAGGGTTGAAATTGTGAGCATTGAAAATTTGCTTCTGTCCCTTGGGTGCCCGGCCTTGCCACCCATCTGTTGGCACTGTGGAGTAATAATGATCTTGTTATTCTGACAAAGCTCTGGGCTGGCCATTTCTGTGAATCCGCAGTAATTCTGCAAGAAAATTAAGATGGGTGAAATGACATTGCTGAGGCTACATGACAGCTCATTGGTGGAGCCAGGTTTTCAGCCGAGGCCTGTTTGACCCTGAGCCTGACATCACACGTGTCCTTTTTTCCCTACTGCAGGACTTCTGCCCTGAGAGGAGGCTGCTCTCAGAGGTTTCCTCTTGTGTCCCCCACTCCCATCCTTCTTGTCCATCCCTTTCCAGGCATAAAGAATCAGATGCAAATTATGCCCTTGCCATTTACAGTTATATGTCCTTTATCAAACTTTTTAATTTTCCTGGGCACCAGGAACTAATGAGATGATAGGAAAACCATGTCAGGACTAACAGCTAAGACCTCTCCTGCCAGTTTCCTGTTTGCTCTGAATTCTGCTGGCATAAACCAAAACTCTATAGTCTCCAGGAAGGCTTCTGTGAGTGACTGCATGTAGCCTTTTTCCTTGAGACATCTCTCCCATTTTGCAGTATTTCTACATGCTTGCTTTTCCTTCTAGATCATCTGAGGATGTGAAGAAAAGGGAGCCAAAGCTGGAATATGAAGCTTGGATTCTGGCCCTGATTTAGCCACTCACTAGCCTAGGAAGAGCGACTCATTTCACTGTGCCTCAAGTTTCCTTAATCATAAAACTAGGGATAAAAAATTTAAAAAACTAGGGGCAAAACACTTTCATTTCTAGAAAGGTGGCTGTTGGCAAATGTGTTCAAGTTTAATCTTTACAATAGCCCTTTGAGAAAGGGGTGTGCATCCCATTTTACAGATGCAGAAATGGGACCACCAGTGAAAATCTAGGGAATATTAACTTAGCAGTTAAACCCTGGTTCACATTGCGGTGTTGACATTTAATATCTGATAGCAGCAAGCTACTTAAATTATCTAGCCTTAGTTTCTCATGGAATGGAATTAATACCTGGGGTCACAGAAACGGTGTGAGGATTAAATAATACATGAAGGCCACCCAGAACAGTTCAAGTAGTTGGAACCTCACTCTATGAGAGTTTGAGCATTCAGAAATTTGCCCAACATCAAGACTTGAGGTTGAATTAAAATCCCTCTCTCTGATTTCAGAGTTCTCTGTATTGCATAGCCTGCCTATGCCCTCAGTCTGCTTTGTTGTTGTTCTGTTTTAATCATGTTGAACTCAATTTGTATAAATTCTCCAGTCCAGATAGGATCTAATGAATCTGCTTTAGACTTCTGCAGTCTGCAGTCCAGGACGTGGACACATTATTGATGCAGGATGGATTTTGAGAGAGGTTGCTAGGGACCTGAGTTTTTTGTTTCGCTTCTGAGCATTGCTGACAGTGAAGAGCTGCGTAAGTCATCCCTTTTGGGTTCCAGGCCTTCATCAGAGCCCTCAGGTAGGTGGATTTGGAGAAGTGCTTCACAAACCCTTTTTGTCTTAGAATCTGCTAGAGGACCATCCTTTATAGCCTCCCTGGTGTTCTTTCACTCAACAGATGTTGTGTACCTAATATGTAACGTGCCCTGGAGACAGAGATAAGGAGACGGGCATGGTTCCTGCTCTCTTGGGCTTTACTGTCAAGTGCAGGGGACAGATAGTGGATCATTACTCAACTAATGATTTACATTACTGTTGTGGCGGATGGCCTAAGGAGAAATACGAAGTGCTGCCAGGGAGATTATAGCCCAGCAGTGCAGTTTGCTCTTCCGAGAAGGTGCAACACAATTAGGAGAGCAGTCTCCCACTCAGGGAGGCTCTTGTGGCCTGTGGGTTCTGTAGAATGGTTAGGAAACTGCTCCTCTGGGTTCCTCGGGAGCAGGTGCTTTGCCGTGCCACCCAAGCTGTGGCATTCGTTCCTCAGATTTCAGCTGAGTCCCTCTCTGAGGACTGCCCTGGGTTGAAGAGAGTCATGATTACACCTCCTCCGGGAAGTCTGCCTCTAATGGCTGGTTGGTGGGACAGAAGGCTACAGAGACCTGGCTCTTTGCCTCTGTTTGAAACCACCCAGAAAGATCAGCCCAGCTCTAGCACCCCACTTCAGATTCCTGAATCCTCCGTTGCAGATGTATTGAAGGCCTTCTCTTCCTCACTTCAAACCAGTCTCACTTCAAACCATCCATACTTCCCCAATAATCTTCCCACATGCAGATTTCCATTTCAGAATCTGCTTAACGGGGTACTTGATCTAAGACATTTACTACAGATGGTGAAAATAAAGACCAGAGACAGGCAATGACTTGCTTGAGATCCCATAAGCCTGAACCTTCGGATCTTCAGCTCTCTGGCACATGTGTCATACCCAGGGCCAGGGCCCAACACCTTGACTTTGTCTTGCTGAGCCTGTGGACAACGATGGCAGTGGCTGAAATATTCTCAGGATGCTGTGGCTGGAGACGGAAGGCAAATCACTAGTGCTCCATCTTCTCTCATCAGCCTCTGTGTTCTCATCTCAACAAAACAACATGTGGCAGCAGAAATTTTTCCTCCTGTGTCCAAATCACATCTTACTTCATAGTTGGTTCCTGCTGGAGCAAGAAGGGAGTTGAGCCTCTCTCTTTTTTTTTTTTTTTTTTTTTTTTCATTCGTGAAAATTGAACCCAGTGCCTTCACACTGAGCTACATGCTCAGTCTTTTTTATTTTTTATTTTGAGACAGATTCTTACTAAGTTTCCATATTGGGCTCAAGCTTACCATCCTCCCTTCTTTGCCTCCCAAAGTGCTGAGATTACAGGCACTTGGCAGCATCTGTCTCTCTCTCTCTTTTTTTTTTTTTTTTTTTTTGTACCAGGAATTGAACTCGCAACCTCATGCTTGCCAAGTAGGTGTTTATACCACTGAGCTAAATCCCTGGCCCACTCCCCCCACCCTTTTTTTTGAGACAGGATCTTGCTGTGTAGTTCAGGGTGGCCTTGACCTCACCATGTAGCCAAGGCTACCCTTGAACTCACAGTGATTCTCCTGCCTTAGCCTCCTGAGTGCTAGGATTACAGACATGCACCAACAACCCCCCAGTATCATTTTTGAGTATGAAAAGTCACGTGTCGAGAATCTTTTTTTCCTTTGTTCATATGGACATTGTCAAGTTCTTCCTCTGTCCAGATGCTACTACAAGTTAGCCCTGCAGCTGTCAATTAAACATAGGCTGTGCTGGGCATGGTGGCACACATCTGTAATCTCAGTAGTGGGGAGGCTGAGGCAGGAGGATCCATGTGAGTTTGAGGCCAACCTAGGCTACATAGTAAGTTCAAGGCCAATCTGAACTACATAGCAAGAACCTGTCTCAAAAAATAAAAAACAAATGAAATGAAACATAGGCTGTAAAGTTCAGAGGAATGAACATTATACAAATACTGGTGATAACCCCTGGAGAAATAAAACATACAAGGAGCCATGAGATAGTACAGTTTACCGTGAACGTGGAAGATACATGATCAGCAAAATGCGTGGGGAGAAAGAAGGCAGAGGAAACAGTACAGGAGAAAATTTGGACCAGGAAAGAGAACACAGCCTTGCACAGACAGCAGGAAGAATGAGAGGAGGGCTGAGGCCAGAGACAGCCCCCGGTGGATCTGGCAGGACTTGACAGAGCACAGCAAAACTGGACTTTGGCTTGGGGGTGTAGCTCAGGGGTAGAAGGTTTGCCTCAAATGTGCCAGGCCTTTAGAAAAATTGGACTTTATCCTATAGGCAATGGGAAGTCTTCAAAGAAGATTTGTTGTTGGTTACAAAACAGATCATATTTATTTATTAGAGGAGGGAGTGGGGAAAGTCCTAAGACATGCAGGAGCTCCCGCGTGCCAGGTTCCCCGGTAAGTACTTCACAGGTGAGGTCTGTTTCAATCCTTTCATCCTCCCCGCCCTGCTGACTCGGCTCTGCTCTGGCTGCCTTGCCCTGCCTGACTTGTCACAGGGCCACCTCTCAGACACTCAGCATCAGTCTGGTGTCCGGGAAAGAGCTTGGACTTTGGAACCAGACAGCCAGGCCTCAAATCTGAACGCAAGTCCATCTGGAATGAGGCAGAGTATAAATAAACAGTGCCAAGTACCCACATGACCATTAGTAACTTTCTTTAATTTCCTCATTGATAAGATGAGAATGTCGCCATCTACGTGAAAAATTTGTGATGGTGGGATCAGATGAGTAGATGTTTGTAAGATGCCTGCCTTGTGTAAAAAATGGGGGTTTGGTCATTGCCATTTTCTTGGATTTTACTTCTTCAAATCTCACATTTTTCTTCTATAAAAAGTGAGTAGAGCTGGTTGGATGTACAGCTCAGTGACAGAGCATTTGCCTAGCATTTGTGAGGCCCTGGGTTTGATTCCAGCAATACAAAATAAATAAGTAAAACAGAAATGACAATAATACCTACCTTATAGAATTGCTGATTATTCAGTTAAATAAGTGATTGTCACTCCCACAGGACACTTGGCAAAGTCTGGAGGCATTTTTGGTTGTTACAACAGGAAATGGTACTGACATTTAGAAGGCATAAATCAGGGATGCCACTAAACATCCTACAATGCAAGGAGAGGTCCCTTAAACCAAAATATTATCCAGTCAAAATGGTTCCAAGGTTGAGAAATCCTGAATTAAATAATGCACATAGTGTGTTCAGTACAACACCTGGTACACATTAACTGGATGGTAAATGGAAAACAAACAGACTTTGGGGAAAAATACGCTTCCTGGAACAGATATATAAATTCAGTGAATCCAAAATCCCAATGGTCCTTTCTCCAAA